TAAATGCACTGAGTTGCCGCCATGTGATTGGCTGATTAGAAATTAAATGTTAACGAGCAGTTGGACAGGTGTACCTAATAAAGTGGCCGGTGAATGTATCTATACAGTGGTGTTATACAATAGCATTAATAGCCAAATTAAATTATATTGTTAGGCTACATTAATACATTTAAAATTATAATTCCAGTTCAAACAGAATAACCTATTGTCAACATAATTATGGAGTGTGATTTATTTTCAACTCTAAATATATTCAATCTAATGAAATATAAAGTTATTAATGAAGAAAATCTGTATGGATAACTGTTCATAAAATATCCGACAGGTCTGGACCACACGTAAATTTTGTTCGTATCTGAAGAAAATTAACAACACGACAAAATTGATGATTGTCATAAGTTTTCCTGAATCACTCGTACGCACAACTTAAGAACAAACCTGGTCGTATGAACAGTTCTTACATGAGATCCATTACAAAGAAATAATCGACCAAACGCTAATTTTCTTACTTTCTGTGCTACATTTATATATGATATACAGGATTATTATTATTATACATATTATTACATAATGGGCCAGACCTGTAGATTCCTTACACGTATTGAACAAACAAAAGTTTAGTAAATGTGGATTTTAACAAATATGGACCAAAGAAAATGACTAAATGCTAAATATAACTAATATTGTTAAAGAAATCATCAGTTTTCATGTTTCTGTTTACCTGAAGTTTTTTATCTCTTTTTACCTGATTTATTAATTAGGAATATGGAAATGAAAGAATGCTGTGAAAACTGAAGGACTAACTGTAATGTTTGAGACCAGTTCTGGATTAATGATGTGTGGTTAAACTAAGTGTTCATGCTGGTACTGGTGTGTGTAGGTAAGGTTCTGGTCCACTGCACTGTGGGAGTGAGCCGCTCAGCCACCCTGGTTCTGGCCTACCTGATGATCCGACAGAACCTGACCCTGGTGGATGCCATCAAAACCGTCAAAGACCACCGAGGCGTCGTCCCCAACCGGGGTTTCCTTCGCCAGCTCAGCGGCCTGGACAGCATCCTGAGAGAGAGCCGCAAGACTTCAGAGCTGAAAACACCCTGAAGTTCATCAACTGGACCAAAGTTAGAGCCACTGGATCCGAGTGGTACCAGGTGGTTCATCTGATCAGTCTTTACCAGGTGAGACAGCAGGACATCTCCAGTGAAAACATTCACGTGGACAATGATTCTAACGGTCTGTACCAAACAGTGACCCTGCTAGAAACAGGTACCAGACCTGATGGTTTGAGGTGTCATCAGGTCCAGGTTTCCTCTATAAGCTGCAGGTAAACATGGGACCTGTTTTCAGTTCTGGGTCTATAAACAACACGTGTAGCCGAGCTTTCAGCTCCAGCCCAAATATTCACTAAGACCAGGATTCAATGACAAATCAGGTGGTCTTCATTTCTTTTGACCCATGGCTCAGTTCTGGAGTCCACTGCCTTGGTTCTACCTGGACCTCTAAATACCATGTGGCTCTGCAGGACTTTCCAAATCACAACAAGCTCAAACATGTTTGTCTGGTATTTGTGACCACAGCAGTCAAAGTTTCTGCAACGTTCAGGAACTTCTAGACCAAATCTAAACCAGCGTAAAGTAGCTCATATTCTCAGATGTAATTACACAGTTATTACCTGTGAGTAGAAACATGGTGCATAAACACAGTTTAGTGTTGAATCAGCCTGTGGTTTTAATGCAGAGTATTAAACCAACCACAGCTTTTTTATTAGTTCTTTTAAGAGTTTTATATGGGTTTCAGCTGCAGGATCTCCATGAACACTTCCTGTCCTTTCTGACATACGTGGACTCAAACCTGCAGCCTCAGGATTATGAGACTGTGTGACCAGAGAGCTTCAACAGCCTTCACTTCAATTCTAACAAATAATAAGATTTTCCATCCAGTCAACTCAGCTTTGCTGTAAATATTTATCAGTGTAGTGAGCTGTGCAGAGGAAGAACTCAGTCTGCTGAGGGGCAGGGCCGGCCCGTGGCATAGGCAGTATGGGCAAATGCTGAGGGCACCGTCTATCTAGGAGACACTACATACGAGGAAAAAAAATTGTAATTTTTTTTATCAGTGTGAAGGTGACCCATCACATCAAACCGATGACTAAGTCCCAAAGTGGTATGTGGAGAAATAGGCACATCTAACAGGTTGAAATTCTGATATTTTCCCTGTTAGCTAGCAAAGCTTTTGTTTCTTTCCAGTAGAGCTGGGCGGTATGACCCAAATTTTATATCATGGTATTTTCAACAACTGCACCGGTTTCACGGTATTTGACGGTGTTTTTTCCTCACAGCTCAGCTGATATTAAAATGTATACAAACTTTGTTTATTGACTTTTTTCTTTTACTCTTTTACTTCCTTTCCTCTGTATCACTGTTTCCCTTCTCTTCTGTCTTTCCTTCTTTGCCTGGTTGTAGACAGTAATAATGCATTTAGGTCCGATAGTGAAGGGTTGAGAAAAAATCATTATCTGGTCTATCGTTAAGTGTTAATAAAACTTAAAAGGACGACTCACCTTGCACACCAGTCAACTCCGCTACACTATAAAACGACTTCCCCCCAGGCTTTTCACAATAGAAGCACGCTAGAGTCTCCATGCAATAACGTCTCCATTATAACGTAGCGTGTTAAATCTAACCGTGCACGTCACTGAAGAGTTGTTTACTAGTTTACTATTCAGCGATGGTGAAAACGGGATGTTTTTTTTTACGTCAGACCATATAAGCGGCTGAAACACACCACCCGCCGCCAATTGTTACAACAATAACGTTAGCATGCTAATGTGCTTAGCGGTGCTGCGAGGAAATATGTCCCCAGGGAAACAGTTCACTGGCTGCCGCGACGAAAAGTTTCGCACGTGTTCAGACTATTTACACCGGTTTTCAGAAAAGTCATATATTAACAAATATAAAAAACAGTTTTCGGTACAAAACGGTATACCGCCCAGCACTACTTTCCAGTTGGGAAATGTCAGCATTCAAAAACAATTTGAGGTTTCCTGTTTATAATGACATCAAAAAATCCTCAAAAAATTACATAAAAATATGATTCAGACCATATATTAATGTATTATCCTGATTAACAAGACAAATGAAGTAATATCTCTGGAACCGCTCATGATGTTGGATGATCCAAGTATCAAAATGTAGCTTTTAAAGCCGGAATCCGAAAATATGATTTGATCATTTTGACCAAATTTGATTTAATCCTCAGTTTGATGTGATGGTTTCACTGGTTACTCAGGTTTATGAAGGGTGTTTCTCAGCTGCTTTTTTACTACATGAAGTGGTTTACGGTGCAGAGAATATTTCATGATAAAAGTATCACATGACGCAGGCAAGACTAACTTCTGGTGCTCAATGTGTGAATAGAAAAAATAAAGATAATGGAAGTTTCAGTTATGATTAAAACAATTAGATTTGATGTTGTTTTAATAATCCCAGGAATTTAGTAAAATGTTCTTCAATGGCTGGAAAATGATCTACTCAAAACTCTTCATTTTCCTTCCACTGAACATTTTACTAAATTCCTGGGATTAATAAAACAACATCAAATATATTTTTTATAATAACTGAAACTTCCATTATCTTTGACTAGATCTTTTACAGGTAAACCCCTGGAGTCCCCTAGAACTGCTTCAGTCCACAGCTGCTCGTTAACATGAAGGTGTTCCTCGTTGCCGTCATGAGGTAGACCTCTGGTATTCTGTTTCAAGTGAATTATACTGTTAACTATTTTATTTGGACAACCTGGTTTCTAAAGATAAGAAATAATACCAAAACCTATTTAATTTGGTATGCAAATGTCTGTAAACTAGCAGTGAGATTTAGAAAACTGCACAAGAAGTGCCACCTGAAATCTTGCCCAGGCCCGGCCCTGTTGAAGGTTAGAGCTGCTGCAGCTCGGTGGTCTTATAATCCTGACGCTGTAATCTGAGCCCAGGTCGATCCAGGAAGAACAGCCAGTGAAAACCCATCAGCAGATCTTTCCTGTGAGTTCACTGACCGTAGCCCTGAGGAAAGAATAACTAAATGGTTCCAGTTTAAACCAGCTCTTTAAATATGAATCTGAGTGATGATTACTTGGAGTGTTAACGTTTAAAACAGGTTTTCTGTGGCGTGGGGTCTTCGTCTGTGCTGGCGTACCAACACCGTGCATATGTACAGTATATATAAATATGATGTAGTAAAGGTGAAGAAGGTAAGAACTTTGTTTATCTGAATGTTCAAAGTGTAGCAGTACAACATATGGATTTCTACAGAATCCAAACCTTTGAGTGTTTTTCACAGACTAATTAAGGAGGCTGCTCCTCTGGATAAGATTCTCCTGCTCCGATCGGTCAGAACCTTGAACTGGACCACATATCAAAGCCACCTGTTGTATTTTTCAGACCAGAGTCTGACTCTGGCACCAGACCAAGACGAACCAGACCAGGATCAGCAGAATCCACTGGTCTGAAAACCATTTAAACATGTAGAGTCTCTACAGATTCTCCATTAGAAAGGTTATTTATGGGTTTTTTATATACAAGTTTGTTTGTTTTTATTATTAAAACTTTCTATAACTTCCCTCAGATTCAGTGAAGAGATCATAGAAGATCCTGACTTTCAGTAAACCTTCAGATGTGAGGGTAGGGTCCAGTCCGGTCCAAAACCAGCCAGTAAAAGTTATTTTCAGGCTTTTATAAAGTTCCTGCTTCTTTTCTCGGCTGATTTATTCAGAATCTGAACTACTGAATGAAATCTGGATGCTTTACACACGAAAATGACTTTCAGTATTTTCAGTCAGATTAGAACACGTTAATCTGTTAATTTACCACCTAAAGATACATCTTTGCAGAGTAAAGTTTTCTACTCAGTCCTCTTCCAGCTGTCTCCAGTGTAGCTGAAGAGTTCCTCCACGTCGACACTGATGTGAAGTCTTTTATTGTGAAAATATTCACAGAAACTCTCAGATTTAACTGCTCATTTGCAGTATTTCACAGCTGGTAGGGACCAAAGGATGCTCTGGATCTAAAACTGAACACTTCTCAGCTTAACTTCTGCAGAATCACTGTCTGCACAGAGAAGAAAAACAGCTTTAAACAATCAAAGAGAACCGGTGGTCTCAAACACAACCTCCTGGTCCTGAACGTGTCCAGTGTTTGTACCAGACTTCCACAGCTGTCATGTTTTTGTGTGAGGTCTTACAGCGTTAACACTTTATTAGAATGATGGTAGGGTTAGGGTCAGGGCTCCGTTTGAAACGTCAGGAACACATAATGTCCTTTAACAGCTAAATCTGCCACTTTCCTACTCAGAGAAAAACACGTTACAACATACAACATGTTGTTCCTAACATGATCTGTGGGCGTGGCCTATCCCATTTAGTGTTCTGTATTATTTACGTCTGGTTTTTGTGGTTTTATTGTGATGTCGTTGGTGTTTGAAACAGAAAAACTTGAATTTTTGTGAGTTTATTTTTGTATTACTCTGTGTTCACTGAAGGAACATTTGGATAAGTTGATGCCTTAAATGTCTTCTTCAAGCTGGTCTTTTTATTGTAAAAAATTATATTTAAAAAAGTCTTTGTTTTGATTAATTCTGTACTTGGTTGTAAAATAAATTTTCAGATGTTTTACTGTTTTAAAAGTGTTGGACTTGTTATTTTCTTCAGGGTTCAAACCATGGACTTGAATAAGAACACTAGACTAATAAAAAGGCCATCCCGTCCACTGTTAGCGTCTGTGACAGCATGGAGGAGCAGAAAAGACCAAACGGCAACGGCTCACAGCCTCAATAGAAACTAATAGATAAAGAGCAAGCAATTAACAATGTTAATTTCATTTAACAATCATGTAAAACAGCAGATTTATACTAGAAAAATATATAATTTATAAATAATGATCTAAACCAGACCTGAAG